GCAGTGGCAATGTGAAAGGTCTCCCAAGTATGCAGGCACATGAGTGGGAATATCTTGGGATGGTTTCCCTCCCGCACCCCATTCCTTCTTAGCTGTGCCAGGCCATCTCTGCAGAGTCTGTCGCAGCTGAGGCATCTGTTGTTTGCCTGGGAACACCTATCAGCATTTCATGAATACTAATTCAGCTGGTACTTGGGCTCCGAGAGAAGTGTTCCAGAAGATGGGGCACCGGGGATTACTGCAAACAAGAGGAGGCCGTGTTCATTGCACAGGTGATGATGTGCAGACGTGTAACGGGTGCCAATGGAGCGCCATGGAGAGAGGAGAGGCTGTCGGAGCAGCCCAGACCCTTCCAAGGCACTGGCAACCAACATACTAGTGGAGTCCTAATGGTTACTAAAGACTCGCTGTCAAGATAAAGAACTGACAGCAACAGGAAGTGCATCTGCTTGGCTGGGGTGCTGCCTGGAATTCCACAGCTCTCAATGTCCTGTCGCAGCACGTACTGGGTGTTGTATGGGCCCATCTCAGCCATTCCTGAATCCTGCTCTGGATCTCTGTGGGGGGACAGAGTAATGGTGGAGCCAGGATGATCTGCGGTTGCATGGCGTACCGTCACTACTCTTTGGATGCAGCAGCAAAGATACTCGGGTGATGAGTGCAGTCGGTACCAAGATAGATTTCCAGTCCGGGTGCTGGGATGTGCAAACGTGGATGGAAAGCAGGAGCTACGCTGATGGGAATGGTGAGCTCTTAGTCTGGGCTTTTGCTCCTACTGCATGTAACTCCCGCAGGTCTTATGCGCAAAGCATGCCCCTCGGGAGGCTCCTTCACTCATTCTCTCCACGTGGGAAGGCAGAGGAGCTTTCACCTCCATCCCCCATACTACTTCCTACCAGCTCTGAGCTCTGAGACTCCCCAGCACTGGCACACGGGGTAGGGGACAGCGATGGTCCATGGCAGCTTTGGCTCTGGTGGTGGGATCGGTGGATAATGGTCTTGCTTGAAAGGTTGTTGCATCCTCCCCAAGCTGCACTGGACCCTAGTTCCCCCTTTGGCAGGACCATCACTAAAGGGGCTTTCCTTCTCCTGGGCTGGGAGAACATCAGTGTCCCGCACTGAAAGGCAGCAGGTATCAGCTGTTTGTGACGTCTAGCTGAGTGACATCTTGCCAGACTGGCTTGGCCTTGTATTCTTCTGCAAATTTTGTTTCCCGACAGCCTCTGGACCCAGTCAGCACAGTTCACACTCAGCTGTAGGCACACCAGGCAGGGGTGGTTTGTTCAGCTGGTGGCACTGGATGCAGACAGGGTTAATGCACCGTGTTCTCTACCTGGGCTGACCCGTGCAGTTCTTAAGCCAGGTCAAAACATTCTCTGTCCTGATCCAGCGCAACTTCACTGAACCTGGGCTCAAGCCCTGTGTGGTTGGGGCCATATTATTATTGGTACTGCAGCAGCATCGACTCTCCAGCCGAGAGCTGGTCCCCATTGTGCTGGCCTCGGTACATATACTAACAAAGAGACTGTCCCTGCCCCAAAGAGCTCACAGGCTAAATAGACGGCAGAGGGACAGCAGCTTGTTGAAGGTCACACAGTAGGTCCGTGGTAGAGGCCTCCTAAGTCTCCCACTAATGCCTTATCTACTGATCCATGCTGCTGCTAATAAATACGAGGCTTGAATCCATGACCCTGAGATTAAGAGTTTCATGCTCACTCAGTGAAGCCACCAAGCAAGGATGGCATCAGTCGCAAGAAGTCATTTGCTGCCCTGGCAGTGGGCCCAGCAGCTGCTTCTAGTGGAGCAGATGGGGCGGGCTCCTCCCATCTGTTCATTCACCGGGAGCAAAGAGAAGAGCGAGGGCAGGATTCCTGTGCCCACCTGGAATGGACTTTGGATGCAGCTCCTGCCATGAGAAGAACCAGGACTGGATGTCAGTGGGCTACAAGGCCAAGTGCACCCCCTCACATGGCTGTTTGCCTGCAGCAATAGAGGAACCTTAACTGTGGTTCTGGGACTATGTAACTTCTGCCCTTGGAAGCTGGGAATCCCCATCTGCAGAGAGGCTGCCTCACACGGGGGTGCCCTAGTCTGTTGAAGGCCCTTTCTAAAGCAGGCCACCAGCCTGGGCCATGTCTGGCAGTGGCCAGGGACCTCCTGGGGTAAGAAGAAAGGACTGAAATGAAGCTCTCAGAGTAAGTGCAAAGAAAGTGCATTTGTGCCAATGGGAACATAGGGCCCCGGAGTACACGGAGACTGAGACACGAGTAATTGATTCCCCGGGGGCAACATTTCTGATGTTCAGATTGCCTTGTCTTTCACTGTTCACCCACCAGGCTTTTTATAAACCCTCTGGAGACTCCAGAAACACAGCAGCTGCAAGCCCCGTGTGCTAAAGTTTAGCGACCTGCTAGCGCTCGCTCCCCCTAGCTGTGTCAGTGACCATGTGCAGGTGCTGGTGCCTCTCCCCTGGGAGGTTACAGGGACCACACCGGCAGGGGCACTGGCTCAGCAGCCTGCAGACCAGTCCCGGATTGCCATAGCTGCACCCCCTGCTCTGAAGCAGAGGTGAAGGGGCAGGCAGCTCCTCAGAGGGTAAGTACTTTCCCGTCCTAGCAGGGCTTTTGTGTGGCTAGCAGCACCCTGGCCTGGAGATGGCTTAATAACAAACGTTCCTCAAAGTCCCAGAATAGAGTCCATCAGCACAACACAACGCTTCTGCTCTGACCTCTGCAGCCAGGCTTGGAGTGCTGCTTTTGTCCCCAACTGCTCTGCACCAAGCAGCCACCCCTGGCCAAAACTCAGCTTTCTTCAACTCTCCCTCTCTTTGGCCTCGAGAGGTCAGCAGGCAAAGCCCCTCTGCTGCTCTCCTGGCCACCGCTGGGTAGGACCTCCTGCCCTCTGCAGCTTCTGCCCTTACTTCCCCAGCAGCTCCCTCACCTCCCTTGGGTGAGAGAGATCAGTGGGTAACCAGCCTTCCCCTGCTGCTGCCGCTCTCTTTGTAAGACCCGGGTTCCTTCCCCTAAGCCCAGTTGGGCAGGAAGGAATCAGTCACAGGTGCACTGGATTTCTCTCTCTCTCTCTCTCTCTCTCTCTCTCTCTCTCTCTCTCTTTTCCCCCCACACATACACTTCTTAAAGGGGCCAGTCAGCCTGTGACAGCCATCAACTGTGGTGACAATGCAAATAATTACCTTGTGCCCTAAGGCTGTTTAAACCCCTGGGACAGAGACCCCTCCCAGCCTCACCTCCTGTGAACTTCACCCCTGGAGGTGAAGAAGTGCTGGCTACCCGTGGGTAGGACTCAGGTGGCATCTTGGTGACAGGTAGGGTAACCATACATCCCGTTCTGGCCAGGACAGTCCCTTTTTTAAGCCCTGTCCCGACGGTCCTGACTTTTTTGGCAAAAGTGGGCATTTCTCCTGTTTGCTCTTGTCAGCTTGATCAGTTGGCAAGAGCAAACAGAACAAATGTTCACTTTCTAAAAAAAAGTGGGGTGTGGAGGAACGTGCCGGGGCAAGCAGCGATGCCAGCCCCACGCAGGGCGGGGAGGCAGGGCTCGGGTGAGTAGTGATGCCAGCCCCAGCCTTGCGCAAACAGTGATGCCAGTCCCGCATGGGGGGCTCAGGTGAGTGGCTCGGGAAAGGCTTGCGCTAGCCCCACGTTGTGTCCCGTTTTCCCTTTGGGAAATACGGTCACCCTAGACAGGGGGCGCTGTGACCAGCTTTTTGATGAGACCCAAAAGCAAGGTCCTGATCACTTGTGGTCATCAAAGATCCCGTGCCACTGGGATGTGAGTGGTGTTACACTGGCCAAACTCTAGTGTGGAGAATCTCATTCTGCCTCCTCCAGCCCCCCTGTCGTTGCACTTGGCTGTTGGTTTTCTCTTCACATCCTGTCCTTACTGTTTGTGTCGTCTGTCCAGCATCTAGCACAATGGGGTCCAGTTCCTGGACTGGGGTTCCTAGTTACTACCATAATATAGGGACTACCTCTAATAACGGGACTCTGTCCAGGAACCTGTACCCCAGGCCTGACCAAGAGGGACCATGTACAGACAGGCCATCAGCCATGTTCTGTAACTGAGTTAAAGCCCTGCTCATGCAGAATGTGAGCATCAGGCATCACGGGAGGTTGTGGCAGTCATTGGAGGATCTGGAAAGGAGGGTGCATAGGCGGTGTGGGTTAGTGGTGGTTATGGTGCCTTTGTACCTTCAGCACGTGGCAGTATTGTGTGTGGAGCATGCTAGTGGTTGGAACCAGTGACTAGGAGTTGGGACTCCTGTATTCAACTCATGGCTCTGATGCTAGTTTACTTTTAGGCTAATGTGTTCAGAAGTGGCCTCTGATTTTGGGTGCGTAATATGAGCCTGGTGTTCCGACGGTTCAGGCACCCTGAGCTCCAGTTGAAGTCACGGGTACTGTGAGTGCTCAGCACCTCTGACAGTTGGCCCCACCTGATTTCAAGTCAGGCACCAAAAACTCTCCCCCGCCAATCAGAGGCTGTTTTTCAAAATGTGGCCTCTAATATCCCTGTGCCTTGGATCCCGTCAGTAAAATAGGGATCGTGACTGGCCTGCTTGGGGATGGGGGGATGAGGGAGTCCCTGTGAAGTGCTTGGAAGTGTGACGTGCTAGAGCCGCCCTGGAGGTCATTCAGTCAGTCACCAGAATCGCTCCTCTGGTTCTCGCTGCTTGTGGTTCACGTTCAGAGAGGGGGGGGGGGGGGGGGGCTTGAAAACAATAAGAAGATTCCAAAAGCGCCTAAGGGAGCGAGGGCCCAGCTCCGCCAAGGCATTTAGGCACCTGAGCCCCATTGAAATCAGTGGAAGTTAGGCGCCTAGGTGGTCCCTGAGAGCCAATGGGTGTTGGCTGCCAGCTCCCTGAGGTGTTTTTGGAACCCCTATGTTAAGGCAATAGACGTCTGTTTCTTCTCGTATCCCCCTTCCTTTCTGTCCCTGCTCCTAGCCCTGTCTCACTCCCCCTCTGTCTCTTCCCCTAGACTTGGACATGGCCAGAGAACCCAAGCCGAGCCGAGCCAGGCCTGGACAGAAGCGGCAGCATGGCGGCACCCTCTACCAGTGAGTCTGCGTGACACGTTGTGGTCTGTTGGGGGTGGGGGTGCTTGCTTCTGGGCCTGGGGATTATCCTCAATAGTGTCAGGAGAGCCTCGGCGGGTCTCTCTTGAGACAAGACCTCTGCCCCGATGGTCTCTCTTCTCCCACCATCCCTCCTCCCCATATCCCATCTTCTTCTGCTCTTCACTCAGCCAGGCCCTGCTCCCTCCAGGTGCTCCTCTCATAGCCCACAGGGCCCCCTGCACCCCACCACAGCCCAGCCCTTGGGTGGCAGGGCGTTCAACTCTCGCTCTCTGCTGGGCTCTGGATGACGTCTCTAGTCCAGCCACAGGTGACTCCCAGAATGCCTTGCGTCCCACTGGGGGGTTGGAAGGAGTGGGTTGGCACCAGCTGAGATGGGGTGACCTGCTGACACGCCGTGATGGCTCTCAGCAATGGCACAAGGCCTGCTCTTGTGGGAACTCAGCCTCATGTTTTCAAACCTCAGATAAAGTGTCCGAATTACCCGTGATCCTCTACTACACCCACTGTATTGGCCTCGCTCTCTACTGGCTGGGGGTCTGAGTGACACAGACTCGCTTTGAGCTCACTGGGGAGCTGGTGCTTTGGGCGCCTTCATGTCCCAGCAGGGGCGGATTCCTTGTGGATGGTTTCCTCGCACCGTTCTCCCTGGGTGGGGGGGGGGGGGTGGTCGCCCCGCTCCGTTCTCCCCAGGCGGGGGGTGGGGTGGTGGTGGTTTCCTCGCACCGTTCTCTCCGGGCGGGGGCAGTTTCCTCGCACTGCTCTCCTGGGCCAGGGGTGGTTTCCTCGTTCCGCTGTCCTGGGGGGGCCAGGGGCAGGGGTGGTTTCCTCGCACTGCTCTCCTGCGGGGCAGGGGCGTTTCCTCGCACCACTCTCCATAGCTGTCAGAAGGCTGCATCTCAATGGAAACTAGGAGCTCTAAAGGTTAATCTGCTTTAGAAATAATATGTTGAAATTCACAGTCCCAGCCTTGAAGATGATTTCCTGGAGATGTTGGTCCCTCTGAGGAAACTGCCAGGATTGAACTGAGGAGCACAGGTGTTGCCAGACTGGCTTAGACCCAGGGTCATAAGAACGGCCAGACTGGGTCAAACCAAAGGCCCATCCAGCCCAGTGTCCTGTCTTCCGACAGTGGCCAATGCCAGGTGCCCCGAGGGAATGCACAGAACAGGGAATCATCAAGTGATCCATCCTGTCGCCCATTCCCAGCTTCTGGCAAACAGAGGCTAGGGGCACCATCCCTGCCCATCCTGGCTAATAGCCATTAATCCTCCATGAATTTACCTAGTCGTTTTTTGAACCCTGTTATAGTCTTGGCCTTCACAACATCCTCCGGTAAGGAGTTCCACAGGTTGACTGTGCTTTGTTGTGAAAAAATACTTCCTTTTGTTTGTTTTCAACCTGCTGCCTATTAATTTCATTGGGTGGCCCCTAGTTCTTGTGTTATGGTAAGGAGTAATTAACACTTCCTTATTTACTTTCTCCACACTAGTCATGATTTTATATTTATATTACCTCGCAACCTAAAGTTGGCCTCCAGGACCTCTCTCCTGTCCTTCCCTATGTCATTGGTATCTACATGTACCACAACCACCGGCTCCTCCCCAGCACTACATATAAGTCTATCTAGGTATCTCAAGAGATCTGCAGCTTTCGCACCCACCATCTTGTTCTGTACCCTGCCTCCCAAGGTGGCCAGCACCATATGGTGAAACCATAGCAAAGCGTCTACCTTTCCCTCCCATGTCCTTGGGCCTTATGCTGGAGGGGTGCAGAGGTCCCGACACCAAGAGCTGTTTGTAAGCCATTTCAAAAGCACTTCCGATATCTTGATCTAGAGTTCTCCATCTGAGTCTAGAGCAGTTCCAGATCACTCTAGACCGTCGTGGATTTCTAGATCCAGGGCACTGCACCGCTGGGTCCATTTCACAGCTCCTGAGCTCCAGACTTTCAGACATTTGCCCGTCTCTAGTGTAGAACTGCAACTAAGGAAGAGGAGCTTTGATCCACCCTCAAGGCACAGCCTTGAGAACCAGCTCTTGGAAGGCCATGCTAGTTTGGCTCCCAGCCACTTCAACTTGCCCATGTGTCTGGCTTAACCGTCTGCGGAGTCCACCCTGGACCCTGAGTTGTAATAGAATCTGCCATTGCTCCATCTCCCCACTCACACACACGCCCTCATTACTGGCAAGCCCCCAGGGATCTGGGGCCAGATCTTCCTCTGAATCTGTTGTGATGGGTTGGATCACAGAAACCCCCTTGGGAGCTGCCAACCGATGTACCAAGACTACCCCTGTTCTTATTTTCCCTGCCAGCTCAGGACTCCAGCACCCTGTCTTGCTGAGCCAGACTCTCCTGTCTGCTCCAACACAGACCCAGGGTCTGAATTACCTGCCCCAAAGCTTCTGGTTTACCTGAAAACAGCTCACAGAAGTGTGCTTGTCTTTAGCACTCAGATGCCCAACTCCCAATGGGGTCTAAACCCAAATAAATCTGTTTTACCCTGTATAAAGCTTATACAGGGTAAACTCATAAATTGTTCACCCTCTATAACACTGATAGAGAGATATGCACAGTTGTTTGCTCCCCCAGGTATTAATACATACTCTGAGTTCATTAATAAGTAAAAAGTGATTTTATTAAATACAGAAAGTAGGATTTAAGTGGTTTCAAGTAGTAACAGACAGAACAAAGTAAGTCACCAAGCAAAATAAAATAAAATGCGCAAATCTATGTCTAATCAAACTGTATGCAGATAATCTCACCCTCAGAGATGCTTCAGTAAGTTTTTTTTCCCTCAGACTGGACACCTTCCAGGCCTGGGCACAATTCTTTCCCCTGGTACAGCTCTTGTTCCAGCTTAGGTGGTAGCTAGGGGATTCTTCATGATGCCTCCTCTCCCCTTTGTTCTGTTCCACCCTTTATATATCTTTTGCATAAGGCGGGAACCCTTTGTCCCTCTGGGTTTCCACCACCCCTCCCCAACTGGAAAAGCACCAGGTTAAAGATGGATTCCAGTTCAGGTGACATGATCACATGTCACTGCAAGACTTCATTACCCACTTGCCAGGACACACGTATACAGGGAGACTCACAGGCAAAACACAGCCATCTGCAGACAATGGTGCTGGTTAATGGGAGTTATCAAGATTCCAGACCACCATTAATGGCCCACACTTTGCATAATTACAAGAGGACCTCAGAGTTATATTTCATATTTCTAGTTTCAGATTCACGAGTGGTACATTCATACAAATAGGATGACCACACTCAGTAGATTATAAGCTTTGTAATGATACCTTACAAGAGACCTTTTGCATGAAGCATATTCCAGTTACATTATATCCACACTTATTATCATGTTTTTATAAAACCATATAGACTGCACAACGTCACATCTGTCAACTCCTCTTTTTATAAGGGGCTGAACAGGCATTCTCAGGCAGTGGGTAATTAGTTGGGACTGGGACAAGGGTCTCTGCTCATGAGCCAGTCCATCCTTCCCACATTAGCATGGAGGTGGCATAACAGAGCCCCTGGGGCAGGACGTGAAAGCACAGACCTTGTCTTTTGCAACCATCCCGGTTAACTGGAGCCGTAAGGGAAGGAAGGCAGCCTGGCTCGACTCCCCTGCAAGGAGACAGGCGAGTTGGGCAGCCACTGACCTTGCCGAGTAAACGGCAGTAAGTCAGCACTCCCCTGAGGAGCAGGGCTGGGCTCCGGGGAAGGTAGCGTGTGGAGCAGGAGGGACACTGCCAGCTGGCCAGAGCTCTGTCTTGCTAGAGAGCGCTTGTGCATTGAGCTAACTGTTCTGTCAGTTGCCATGGGGACGGTGTCGCAGCCTGCTGGGATGAAGGCAAAGAGGGGACATCCCTGGCCACACGAGATCCATTGTTGCTGCTCGCCCCCCCCGCGGCTTATTGCTCAGCAGGCTGCGTCTGGGGCACCCCACTTTGAGGAGCACTGTCCTGCTCACAACATGGCTCAGTTATAGTGCACTACAGCGGCAGGTAACTCAGCAGTGCCTTGCACAGATGAGGAAACTGAGTCTGAGACTTGGCCAAGACCACAGATCGAGTCAGAGCCAAGGGTAGAATCCAGGCTCATGCCCCATCCAGTGGCTCATAATGCTGCATTTCAGTGGGGCAAGTTGTGGGGACCCATACGGCTCTGCTGCTGAGTAATTGCCTGTTTCCTCTCCCACCTATGCAGGGCTCATCTCTGCAGATGGTAAGCTCTTTGGAGCTGGGCCTGTACAGTACCTAGCGTGATGGGGCCCCAGTCTGGCACAGGGCCTCTAGATGCCATTGTTATACAGTATGTGAATCCTATCACTGGCTACAGTTCTATACGGAGTGGTGCCTTCCACATGAACGCACCCTCCATTGCAGCTCTCCTGACATAGCCACTAGCCCGCGCATGTTACCTCTCTGCCCTTAGGGAGCCTGGAGAAACATCCGGCCTTTTAGGGGCTTCGGGGCACTGCCTACACCTCCAGGCCTCTCACTGATTCGTTATTATGTATTGAGAGTCGCCCAGGACGCTTGCCGTTTTCCCTACTGGGAGACACAGGCCTGCCCCTGGTGTGCATCTTGTGAAGCATGTGGTTGTTTTACTGCTCTCGGGGGGGTTAATGCTGTTGACAGCCTGAAGCTGAATACTCTGCGGGGCGGGGGGAGGGGGAACACTGTTGCATTAGCCAGGAATCGAACCCAGGCCTCCTGCCTGGCAGGTGAGACTTCTTCCACTGCAGGAACCGGCTGACAGCAACCCCAGTGCTTAGCCAGGAGGATTGAGATACCGTAGTCACAATTTTTGTCCAGCTCAGCGGCAGTGATGCTGCCGCTCCAACAGCAGGGCTAGGTTCTGGGGGAGGGAGGGAGGGAACGGATCCTTCCATGTGAAGGATCCTGCTTTGCTTGTGCTTTGTTCATTCTCAAGGATACAGGCTGCTTGGGAAGTGGCTCGTGGTACAGCGAGCC